AAAAAATAAAGGCTGTACTTATCAGTGGAACACTTTGTGTTAAATATAGATAATTAAAGCATCAACAATCCATCTATTTCATGTTTAATTAGCCCCTCTTTCATCATAATTTGTTACTGAAGGTCAAATGTGGGTCACTTTTAAAAACTAATTGTAAAGTATTTAATATAATGCAAATTGAGAACAGAAAATTGAAATTCACTTCTGTACACTTTGCACCAAACAGTATTAAAATTAGATGTCTGAAAGAAGTCGCCAATGTAAACGTTTACACTTAATGACAACGTTCCCCTTTTTTTCTCTACATTGTACTTAGTGCTACCACAACACTGTTATTTTTATGATTATTATATATCTGCTTAGCTGAAAGTTGTGAAAAATTTTATTCTTGAGAGTTGTTTTGTGATTTGTCTTTGAAATAAGCCTCTGTGTGTATTTGTGTCTGTACACAAGCAAGAAAAAAGCTTTTCTGCCTGATTAAACTGATTGCCCCCTTAATGGGTGAATTTGGGGTCCTATTAAGACTGCTGGATATATGTGCATATTTATAAGGAAATTGACCCATTTAGTTACTATATCTTTATAATATATAGATACAATTCACATACATGATACCAACTAGTCAAAATGCTTCTACATTGCAACGGACTGATTAATGTTTGAAATGTTATGAAACAAATTAATGGGCTACCATACAAAAGAACTTTTTTTCAAAAATTAATTCCTACATATTTTACTTTTATGGAAATAAGACTTTACAGGAAATGCATCTAGTTTTGACTAGTGTGTGAACACACTCTGGGATGATAAACATTTTTCTTCACTAAACAGTACATTTCCAATGAGAAAAGGCATAGGGATAATCCATAAAGGATTACAGTATTGCCAGAAAGCCAATACTCCAAGCAAAGTAATAATACTGCTCAGAAATTCCTGTACTCATTCTGCTAATTCTACAGATAGCGACCAGTATCTCTTAAAAAAAAAAAAAAAAGAAACACACAACTGCAGTGTTTTAAGTAGTCAATAATCGTTGTTTGTTGAGCAGAGCAAGTCAAAAAGAAACCAAGAGAATATGATGGCCAAAAAGTGTAAACATATAAACAGGGTTTTTCAAAGGCCTGTCCTTCAAACAGTGGTTGTTAACATGCTAATCTCATACTCCTGATCAAAAGTTTTAGTGAAATAAACCTGCTTATATGCCACTATTTTGCACTGTGAAAGAAAGGGGGAAAATGAGAGCATAGAGTATAAACATATATCTGTAACCAACATGAGAAAATAAACAATTATTTACAATTGAAATCTATTATTAGAATTATGATTAAGGATTCCTCTCAGGCACTGAGCTTTCCTTATCTTTGGCTGCCTTTGATGGAAGTTAGTAGTATCCAGGCTCCTCACAGGCAATGTGCAGCACCTGGAGGGCTCAGATTTTAAATCCGTGATCCAGAAAAATATGTGCTTAAACTCATCCCCATTCAGCAAAATACTTCTGTACCGCTTTAACTTTTGGCAAGTGATTAAGACTTATGGAATACTAAGTGATTTCAACATTTGTTTGCCATTAGGTAGATGTCAGTGCTTTACTGAATGGGAGAAAATTGATAAAAGGGAGAACAGAGGTCAAACTTGTGAAAGATCTTGTAAAAAAGTGACAGTGAAATCTCAGAAGCATACGGAATACAGAATTTAGTTTGAAACTTTGCATAAAACCCCTAATGTCAAGAAGGAGGAGAATTACAAATTGTTTGTAGTTTTCTCCGCTGAAGTTTTCCTATACAGTACTGTACTAAACCAGGTGTATTTGGGAACTCATATAAGAAATTTGATGCATTACCTTAAAAAAAGGAAGTATCAAATAATCAAGATGCAAACAACTTGTGTTCACTGGGGTACACCAGTCGGTCACGTAAGTAGAGGCTTTATTTCCTGACTGCTACGTTGCAGATATACAAAAGTATCAATTACAGATTCTAATTACACTAATGGGAAATTAGTATTGCTCTCATCTCCAGTAACTTAGAGCAGGTACGTTCTGCCATGCCCACTTATTTGTTCTAAAACTTTATACACCTTCTAATGTCTCCTTAGAACAAAGGGAACTGCCAAAGAGTAAAGAAATGTGGCCTCAGAGATTGCAACCAGTCTCCCTAGCGTTGTCCCATCAATATGCCACTGGTTCTGTTTCATGTGTACAGCTGAACTATGAAACCATCTGATACCCACCACACCAGAACCCTTTATCTGCAACCGCTTCACATTTCTCTCCAAACAACGTGCTGAACAAGAGCTCCACGTGGTTTTGGGTGTTGCAAATCCTCGTGTGTTTTGCCTGAGAAACTGAGGAATGCTGCACTGTCGGTGTTGGAGCAGTGAAAAGTCTACGTACGGTTTATGCAAATACGTCTTAATGTCCCCACTATTATGCAAAAGTGTGAACAAAACTATATACATATGTCACTCAGCAATAAGCTGGCAAGTACCCATAGGAAAGTGGTAACAGAAGTTTCATGCCTGATAGTCTCTCCTATAAAGTCTGTTATTTAGCACTACCTTTACTGTTTTCTTGGACACTTCCCTTAACTTGCGTGCATGCTTTACAAGGGTGCAAATACTTTCTGCATATTCAAATATAAAAAGACAAGGCATTAGAATATTGACTATAAGCTACTCAGGTGAACTAACCTTCATAACAAACTAAATATTTTGCACAGGAAAACTATCAACACTGAGAAATTGGTTTTGTAACAAACTAGATAAATAATGGAGCAATTCAGCATGTACTTCTTTTGGTTCGGCTGTTGCAAGTAAAAGTGTAAGAAAGCCATTTTCTTCTACTGATGAGTCTTCTAATGTATTTTATATAAAAATATGTTCTTGAAAAATGTCAAGGAATTCAAAACATAATTTTGTAATATAATATAATATAAATAGTCATCTGTACGGTGTAATCCTTTACCATTCCTACACTTAGCATGAAAGTCATTCTTTTACACTGAAAATAAATTACACTTTGACAGTTTATAATTCATATGTTTAGATGAATCGCAGCAGCAAGAAAGAAGTAGTATCTGATTAGCATATGTTCCACTGCCACTTTGTTATTCCGGTCTTCAATAAAAAGGCGTAATCTACTATGTGCTTAATAAACCTTAGTAAATGGAAGCTTAGGAACTTTTTTAGTACTTTGTATTTTGTACAGACTATTTTCAAACTGAAATTGTAATGTACTCTCCAGGAGAGAGTTAATGAAATGTATCACCCAGAAACTACTGTGTCAAACGCTCTATAAATCTGTATCACTTGTAAAACAACATACACAAAAATACTGGCAGATAGTACATCAATCACACTTTTTTTTTTTTTTGGTGATCTGGAAGACTGAGTGGCTCATAAAATTCATTTTCTTTTACAGTATTTTAAGTATTTCTGAGCAGAATGCAAGTACTGGCATCCCATTGTAAAACTTCTGTAGACTAGCAGACGTTTCAAAGTATATATATAAAAAAAAAAAGTCATAGTGTACCATATTTGCATGTTAATAAGTTGAAAAGAAAGCATTTTTGTCAAACTAGTCAGAATTCCCCTGTTCCAGACTTGGCTCTGCATTTACATGAATCAGCATTCGTTTATCTCTAGATTCTTGTCTAACATGCACTGTAGCTGAGGAAACATTCAGAATATTGTCTTACATGGAAAGATGTAACGGCAATCACCGGGTGTCAAGTATCACGTTTTACTATCCCCCAAAAAGTACTCCCCTAAAGAAAAGTGACCTCTGTCCAGGCTACATATGTGTCTTATAAAATAAACAAAACAGACGCTTTCACTTCTGAGCTTGATCCTCCTCTGTGCTATCCCTATTTTATTTCAAGGACTGGTAAAGAGGTCCCTGCCATCACCAGTTTCAGGCTTTCGGAGCTTCCCTGACCCCATCTCCGCCAACGGAGCCGAGACCAGTGCCGGTCCCCCGAGGCACACGGCGCTCTGAGAGGTCTCAGGGCAGCCACGCTCTCTCCAGACAGAGCTATGCAGCAGCTGGGCTGGCAAATTAGGGCCTCTCAACTTGAATGAATGAATTTCATGTGATATACAAGGGGTGGGGGTGGGAAAGGAAGGGAAAAAAAAAAAAAAAAAAGGCAATGAGGACATACTGGGGTGCGATTCCAAACTCCCTAACGCTGATGTGTATTCAGAGCAACTGCTGCAATAAGTGAAATCTCAGTGGTGTAAATCAGAGCGCAGACAGGCTTTGTAAACTATTTAAGCTTTTTTTGGTCCTCATGAACGACCTGGCAATTACAGCCATGAACGCTTCAGCCCGGCGGCTGCAAATCCCCCTTCACCCACGGCTTTTAGGAGGCAGCAGGCGGGCGGCAACCCCCTTGCCCCAAAACACCCGGCTACCGCGGCGAAACTTTCCTCCTCCGCCTCAGCTCACTGTCCCTAAGGCTGGGAAAGCACCACGGGGGAGGG